CTTTTTTAACATTTTATTAGGGGCTCATACAACTGTTATCCCAATCCATACACACATCAATTGTGTAAAGCGCATTTGTACATCGTTTCTCAATAATTATTTCTAAAAATGAAAAAACAACTGCTATAAACCACATGCTTCTGCATTGAGAGAAGTTTTCACTTAGATCCCTAGGTCTTCGTAGGTTGAGAAAGAGCGACTTAGAATAAGGTCACTTAATTGCTCAGTATTGTCTCAATTTTAATAGGAGGATACCCACATTGAAACTTCAATGAATGCTCACACTTGACAAATAAAATGCAAAATCTAATTATTTTTGGGAATGACACGTCTTCCTGCAACAGTTGTGCTCAAAATATGGTTTGTGCTAAATAAGTATAGGTAAAAAAAAAAGTATTAAAAGTACAAATAAATAATACCACAATTTAGACAGTTGTGTTAGTCTTGGTAAACTAGGGAAACAAATCCACAGAAACTCATGTATAAGAGAGAGTCTTATATAAAGGGTAAGTGTACATTAAGAAAGCATCCCAACCCAGTGCTGTCCAAGCCCTTAAGTCCAACATTAGTCCATATGTCTAACACCAATCCACAAAGTCCTCCTCCATCTCACAAAACACACGCAATGGTGCCTACTGCAGGAGGAAAGCCTAATCAGTGAGCGTGTAAGCATCTCAGCGCTGGCAGGGGTCTCCACTCAGCTTCTCTAGCACCCAGGGCTGCATCGGGGTAGGTCCATGTGGCTTCTCCTTGGAGATGTCTTGCAGGAAGTGAGCCTTGCCAGCTGAAGCAGGGAACTGGCTAAGGCAGCTGCACCCTGGTCTAACCATCAGAGAGCAAGAGACCCGAGAACTAGAAAGGCGAGGCTCACCAAGCCATTTATCCCTCTGTCCTTCAATTAACCCCACATGTGTTTATCGTCCAGGTTGGCACAATAAACCTTAACTATCTCAACAGTCATTCATACCAACCTTGTTAGAGAAATCATATTAAGTGCTTAAAGATGTTTCTGTTTTCCACTAATGTTTTCTCCACCTATAACGTTGCTCAGATTATAAAATATGCCCATACTAGAACATTTCAGAAGCATTAAAAAAGTATTTTTATAACACCAATTATCCCACCATCAAGATATTTTTAAACTCCTTTACATTAGATGTATTTCCCAATGACACTAGAGTCTAAGCAGGGAGATTTGGGCTATCAGGCTCAGCCTATAGCTGTGCTTATCGTGTGGTATTCTTTTTTTTCTCCACGTGGTGTTCTTGAAAGGGCATATAACTAAACACATTTCGGGGGGAACATTTGAGCATCCGCTCTGTGCTAGAGTTGTAGGAGGTGAGGGGAGACAGAGACGGACAAGACATCCCTGCTCCCTACAGGGAGCTGCTTCGGGGAGACCACCCAACAGAAAAGTGGAACACACGGAAAAGCTCTTACCTGTCAAAGAGTTGTGAAGTTAACAGTGATGAGCTGAAAAAAAGAAAAAAGATTGATGAGCTGTGTGAAGGGAAACTTTAATAAGGACAGATTTATTTTTTTTATTGAGATAAAATTCATGTATCATACACTTCCATAGTTGGGCTGTATTTTAAAAGAATTGTATATACATCCCACAATCCCTGTCAGTGTATGCTCCCTGCTCCCATATTTCTATTTTGGAGGACATTTTAAAAACCTATCTTAATGTGGTGCTCTAGTGGTAGAAAGGGGCAAATGGGGAAAGGGAAATGCCAAATATAAGAATCATCAAAGGACAATATGATTTGGCGGAAGCAGAGTTGATGTCACAGGTGAGGGAATAAAGCAGTTCACAGCTCTCGGAAAAGTAACCTTGTCAATATTAAAGCGTGTGTGGGTAGGCTTTTCCTTTCTGTATGACTTCCCAGAAACAAAAATAAAAGTTGTCAATTACTTGAGGTGCTATTGATGCCTTTAAATGTAACAGAGCCTCCCAAACCCAAACCAGTTAGCGTCAAATTAATTCAGACCCGGCGTGACGCCATTCTGTTCAGGTAGAACAGTATTCTACAGGGGTTTTGAGAAGCTGATCACCAGGCTTTTCTCCCGATGTGCCACTGAATGGAGCACATTGACAACCAATTTGGTTGGCAGCAGCACTTGTTAATCGTTTGCACCACCCAGGGACTCCTGCCTGGCACATGTTGTTCTTGTGTGCTGTGGAGTTGATTCTGACATGTCAACCCTGTAGGACAGGGTTTGCTATGCTGTAGCCTTTTCAGGAACACATTGTCAGGTTTTTTCCTGTGGAGCTGCTGAGTGGGTGGGTTCGAACCATTGTCTTGGCGAGGCATCTAGTACTGCCCATGTGCACTATACCATAGCTCCTTGTTTAGCACATAAGCTAAAAATATCCCCCCCAAACAAACACCGCTATTGAGTTAATACCAATTCATAGCGACCCTACAGACAGGGTAGAACTGCCCCTGTGAGTTCCTGAGATTGTAACTCTTTACAGGAGTAGAAAGTCCCATCTTTCTCCTGCTTGGTAGGTAGTGGTTTTGAACTGCTGACCTTGCAGTTAGGAGCCCAAGATGTAACCACTCTGTCACCAGGGCTCCTCTGCTTAGCACACAGGAGGTGCTAAATAGGTGCCTGTTGGTGCCTTAGATGATTTTAGCTATCAACTTATCTGAAAAGTGTGCCTTAGTTTTGTACTGTGCTGCTTCAGAGTAAAAAATGAAGCTGTATAATGCCTTGATTAGAAATCCAAGTTCCTTAAGAAGGTAATATTTCTGTTATTTCTAATATCTTTAGGACACAGAGTCTGGGATCTAATCATTCAGTCATTTTGGAGGGACTGAAAAGAAGACCGAGTTTTCTGCAGAACTTTGAAGGCACAAAGAGCAGTCAAGCTCTCACACCGGATTCCTTACTACAACGAACTCCAGTCATAAATGTTTAATGTCTATATTTCTTTGGGAAATGTTTTGTTTGTAAAAATGGACAACAGTTCTATGCATCGTCAACCAAGTATTGAAAACTCACTGCCCATGGAGTCCATGCGTAGTGACCCTAGAGAGAGTAGAACAGCCTGCGAGTGTCCGAGGCTGAAGGCCTCAGCTTTTCCCCACGGATTGGTTGGTGCTTTCAGACTGCTGGCCTTAGAGTTAAGCAACCCATTTCTCAACCCAGCATGCCACTAAGGCTTCTTGAAATTCCGGCTTAGATACTATTCAACGTGTTACATATTTTGCTCTAGTTACTGCCCCCCTTTTTAGTGGTTGTTGGTATTTTAAAGCCTTTTTTTTTTGCCATGAATTTATTGGGAATATACAATTTGCAATAAAAAGAAACAAGACCTTTTCCAGTTAAACATAACTAACTTTTCAAACACTGGTTTCCATTAGAATGCTGATTTACTGTATATTCCATTTCTCTCTACCCATATTCCTAAGTTTCTGTGAAAGAGGATCTCAATGGATTTTAACAAATTCCAGAAAAGTGGTGTACGCGTACATAGGTAATTTGCTTGCAACTGAGAGGATTTAGATGGATGTGTTGGGTTCTTTATGAGAATAACTTTTCAGCCATCGTTGCTGCTGAGGGTCTGCTCTAGGATCAATCTGAACACACAATGGTTCCTCCTTTTGATGACAATGTCCCAAGCCCTGGGGCAGGAGACCACTGACTCTACCAGTCCTGATTCTTTCCCACATTTCGGATAACTATTCTCATATATCGATAGGACAAAAACAAAATAGTTGCATAATGGGTTGTGCACAAGCAGGTTCTGAAATAGAAATTTCAAGGGAGAAAAAAAGGGAGATGGCCGATTAGAAGTGTAGCTTCGAGAAGGACAGTGACATGTTATCTACATTTGATCTGTTGAAAAATCTGTTTGGTTTTTTTCACAACAAATGGTGGATCCCTTTCTTGGGCTTGGGGAGCATGGAGCAGTCGAGACTGTTTTCAGCAGACTGGGTACAGCACTGATGGGCTAGAGAAACCTATAGAGATGGGGTTTGCACAGGATGTTTGCTGCTAAGAAGTTTCCACGAACTTAAAGATCTCAAGGATGATTAAATGAACTACTTGAACAGATCTTTCTTCAGAGCTCACCGTCTTAATAACTAAGCTCAGAGTAAAGCTGGGTACTGGGGAGAGCTGCAACCATGCCCGGTGCGCTGTGGGCGTGCAGGGGGTGGTGGTGGTGTCCCTACTACACGCTGTGCATGGTCAGATCGTTCACTACTGACTTGTTTCTGAGTGGACCTTGATGAGCTGTAGTCCCACTGGCATTAGAGTAAAGCTTGCTCCAAGTACCCAAATGATACTATGCCGTAGATTTGGGGGAGGTGGGGAGCTATATAGACATATTTAAGGACTGTTATAGCTTAGTGTCCGCACCAGTGAGTGGACGTTAGGGAAAAAAGCTCAGTATGAAGAACAACTCCGTTAGACCATTCACCGTTGTAAAATGGTGAATTTCTTATTATTTAGGGCATTCAAACAGATTTGATGATCCCTTGATTGGCATGTTGAAAAGGCATTTTTAATATTTAGTTTAAGAAAATGGTTCAACTCATTGATTTTGAAGATTCCTTCCAACTGTAAGAGCTTGTCCTTACGGAGTCAATGAAGACCCCATGAAACGTCGAACTCCTGCCAGATGCGTGGGTGTCGCTCCCAGCTCTCCACCCCTTCCCTTCACTTTGCCAACCCTTGGAAAAACGAGAGGAGTGCCAACAGCTCTTTCATCCTTGATTTTGGACACGGAATTATGTAAGGATTACATAATATTACATATTATTATAAGGAATCCGTGGTCTTACAGACTCAGCCATGTCTAGCTATCAGTGCAATCTATCTAATTTTACTAGTGTTTGGAATATGACTCTTCAGTTAAATGTAGTCAGCCAGTTAAGAAAGCAAGAAAAAAACTTACTTTACATGCGTGGGCCTGCAGGCATTAAAAGTAGATATATGTGTTGAGGGTTTTTTTGGGGTAGATTATCCTAGATGACTTACTTTTTCCCAGTATTAAATTTTGTGTGTGGAAACTTTAGTTCTTGATTACTCTACCATATAGCAGAAGACTGTTCTGCTCAGGCAGCATGATGATCTGAATTTAGATATCAGTTACATCTCTGAATCCCAATTTCATTCCTTGGTAGCTTTGTGATAGAGCAAATTACCAAACTTTCTTTTACTCTGTTTCTCATCTTTAGAAGGGAGGGAGGTAATGATAACGACTTCATAGGCTTGTTACAAGATTTATAGACATCTAGCTAAAGTGCCCAACATAGGAGGCACTGAACAGTGCTATCAAACATGCATGGTTACAAGACTTGCCTGATAATTAAACACATGGCACACTGCACAGGTCCTTTGTTTATTGCCAGGTTGTCTGAAATGTCTCCATGAGAGATTCAGCCCTTTGGTAAAGATGATAGTACCCTGAATCAAAATCAAGGTATGTCTAGAAGAGGTAGTTTGTCTTCAGATAACAAGTTTTTGGTTCTACCTTGAATTATACTCAACAGCTCGTGGGTGCCTTTTAGCTGGTTCTGGATCACAACATGTGTAACAGAACGAAACGTGGCTCAGTGCTCTGTCATCTCACAGTTGTTACTGTTCGAATCCACTGCTGCAGCGACTGTGTCACTCCACTCTGTTGAGAATCTTCCTCTCGCTGACCCTTTGTAAGCATGGGGAATTCCTTTATTATCTCTCATCTGGGATCTCAGATCTCTAAGGTCCTCAAGAGAGTATCAAGAGAGCCCAGCAAGCATTTTCAACATGTTAAAAATTCAAATGGGAATTGCACGTTTCCTGTGCCTATGGTGACTCTTGACCAAGTGAAACAGCATATTTCTTGCCAGTGGATGAAATGACCGCTCAGTTAATGCAATGCTAACAGGAATGAACCCTGGTGGTGTAGTGGGTAAGAGCTGCTTGGATCCACCAAGCTGCTCCACAGAAGAAAAATGTGGGCTATAAGAGATGAAAAAAATAATAACTTACAATTTATCAAGGGGGTTCATGAGGGTGGGTGAGGGGAGCGGGAGGGAAAAAAGAGGAGCTGGTACCAAGGGCTCAAGTTTTGAAAATGATGATGGCAACATATGTACAAATGTTCTTGATACAATTGATGTTTGGATTGTTATAAGAGCTGTAAGAGCTCCCAATAAACTGATTTATATTAGAAGAAGAAGACGGATGTAGCAATCTCTTCTGTAAAGACTGCATTTTTAGAAGCCCTATGGGCAGTTTTACTGCACCTTACAGAGTCAATTGACTTACTGCAATATGCTTTTTGGTATCATGCTGTCTTGACACTGTGAAGCTGCATTTGTTTCTTATTCACAGATGAGAAAATGATAGTGAATTGCTGTTAAATGCAGTTGCGAGACAGAAAGTCAGGAAAAAAATGAGCCATGAAAAGAACCGCTGTGGCTTTGAGACCCCATGTAGAGCCAGCGAAGGTTTTTAGGTAATCGGATAGAAACGGAGGAGTCTCAGAGACAGAGAACCATGCTACAAGAATGGGCGTATCAAAGAAACCCTACTGGTTTGCTGACCTTTCCAAGCTCCAATTGACACCCCTTTATCAGGAATAACTTCCAAACATTTCTTGTGTGGTGGTGCCCTCTTCTGGAATAGCTGATGTAATGATGAAACACCACAACTTTTCAAAATAGCTACAAGGTAAAGAAACTAACCTCTCTCCAAAGGGTTAATGTTTACATAATTTGAATTCTGGGTTAGATTACACAGTGCATGTGCAAACACTGTCGCCTCCCTTTTCTACCTTGAAACCATGAGCTAGAAGTGAAAATGTAAGCACATCACTATAGTACGAAACCTCCCAGGTTTCTCATGTTATCACGGCAAGATAAGGCATCCTGGTTAAGCATTGGACTGCTAACCTCGAGGTTGGTGGTTCAAACCCACCAGAAGCTCCACAGGATAAAGTTATCTGCTCCCGTAAATATCGAGTCTCTGAAATTCAATAGGGCAGTTCTTCCCTGTACTATATAATCACTATAACGTGAAGTCAACTTGATGGCAGCGATTTGGTTTATCAGGGCAAGCCTTATGATTCCTCCCTTTACCTACTTCAAAACATTTTAGGGATGAGTTGGCCAAGTGCAAATGGCTAGTAATGGCAGACATGCCCTCTTCCCTTCCCCCTTCTCTCTTTGCTCATCAGTACTTTAATACTTGTTTTTCCTGCCCCCAATTCCTCGTGATCAATTCACAACTATATCCCTTACATTATTTCCTTCTCACAGTGTTTTACAATGATGATTTAATTACTGTCACAATACTGACATACTGATACTAAAGACTTATTTGATGGCTCTTCTACTTCCTACATCCTTACCATGTATTAAAAATAAAAATCTAACCCTGTATCTTTTAAAATAATTTAAGGGGTTCAAGTTTAGGTATATTCATCACATTTTAATGCTTCAAAGGTCACAGAGTTTAATAAACTGGGGTCAAATGCAAAGGGACTTTTCTAAAACTTACAGAGGCACCCAACTTCCTTATGAGAAATTTTATCAAGTGACTGGGAAGGTATTTTGAAAGTAAAGGTGTTTCAATATGATTACATTTTTTAAATTACCTTTGGACTTTAATTCATGCTTTTCTACACACACCCCATTCCACGCCCCACCACCCCCGCAAATCTCATCACCAGATACAAATCTCGTGAGGTTTAGAGAGAACATAAATGAAAAACCTGCTCTCCTTCATCCCCATTCTCAAGTTATTTGATTGAGGCAAGATACCCATTGAGAATATATATATATAGTATGGCAGCCCCTCTCCCCCCCCCCTTTATTTTTCTAGTTAAGTAACTTCTTGGTTGAGTTACTTATGATTTGTCTCAACTTCCACGTGTCCTTTCCACCTGACACAGCAGCCTGAGGAGGTTTGGTGAAGTGTTGTGAACCTTAGAAGGTCATTTTGATAACCTCTAGTATACTTTTTAGCTTCTCAAATAATAGAGAGTATTAAGCAGTATAACCCTTCCTTTCAGACCTGCTGTATGATCTCAGATAAAAATGAATGCCAAAAATAGTCCTGAGGAACCTAATGCTCAACCACATTTATTCTTCAACTGCGTTAACAGCATGTATCCCAGTTTTATGCCTGTGACGCCTTAGCCATATCCATTCCTATGTACGTCAGCCTCTTGTAGAGCTACAAAGACATTAGGGTGGTAGGAAAAGGATGTGCATGGAGTGGAAGATGAACGGATTTAGAAAAGCACACGGCTCTTCTTACAGTTCAGGGCAAGGATGCATTAGTTAGCATCTTTAGCCAAACACTCCTGTGTTCATGGTATGGAATCCATAGGGCTACATCCAAACACAGCCCAACCTCTGGCTAATTCTGTAGCATTCCAGATTGAACACTTGTAGTTTTGCCTATTTAAAATGAATCTCCAAACTTAATGACACAGAACAGTGTTTAATTTGGAGGGCACAGCTTGGATGCTCATGCTACAAAGGCTGGTTTCCTGGCCATTGTCAAGTGGTTTGTGAGTGACCTTGCACTTACATCGCAATTGGGTTTCTTGCTCTCTGCTCAATGACCTGGGTTGATGAGCTAATGGAAAAGTCCTGAAAAGAGCCAACTAGTCTCTGCAAATGTATTGTCAGTGGTAAAGAAAGCTGATGGT